AGCAGAAATCGAATATTCAAACCAGTTCAAACAGGCATGTGCTCGCGCCTACCAGTTCGCTGTAAATTCATGTCAATGTCTTCACAAACGGAGAACCTACAGCCTCCGTCAGTCCTCGTAGCGGCCGCACCTGACACGATCGGCACAAGGCGTAAAGCCGTCACTTCGTTGTCTATGCATACGCGATCATAAAAGGCCAATGCGCTACGCTCTAGGGACTAAGAAAAACCAAAAACGTATCTTTAGGCTTGGTTGCAGTCGTCTGCATCCGCCCAGTGCAGCGCAGGTCCCACGGGTAATTTGAGATCGCCGCACCGGGCCAGACAATTAGGAGCGTAGAGGCATTCTTCAATGTTTTCATCAGTATAGAAATAATTGCGGCGGATAGCAGGGCAACTCAGTAGGTAGGGGGACGGGCAGTTAGAGCACGATGCAGCTTCGCCGCCGGTGTGCAGAGAGCCATGGATCTCCCCCACGCGCCTGAAGTGCTTACAGCCTATCCAGTTAACGAGTCGCAAAGTGATTTCACCAACGGGTAATTAAGCGATGGGTAGAGAAACCCTGGAAGACAAGATGAAGATATTCTACACCGCTATATACGTCACCCGTTAACGGACAAGTGAGCGATCTCTGCGCTCTCCCCCGTAAAAAGTGAGGTTACCTGGTGGCATAAGGCAAGGAGCTGCCTTGTAGAAAAGCCTCCTGATATTCATAGGATGCGCGGATCGTGCGGGCGCCTAGGAGTGATCCTTGCCACTAGCCTATCAGGGAAACACAACTTCCACCACCCTAGCTGAGAAGGAAGGAAGCGAATTCGGAAATCAACCCAGTATAAAGCCAATATATATTGGGGCTTTGCATACCACCTTCTATCAGAAAATGATAAAAAGCGGTAGCCGACAACTGACGGGGAAATCGGCACTCAGAAAGCCAGAGGAACGTACCGAGGCACATGCGCTTCTGTCGCAATAGTGGTCATATAAATCCGTATTGCAAATGTACGGAGAGAGCGAAGGAAATGGAGATGCAATGCTCCAACAAGTGTCTCCAATAGAACAAATGTGGCGACCAGGGAAATGCGGGGGCTCCCACGCAACATGCGGCGCAACGATGGGGTCGAACGGCATCTGAAACAATACATCCACCCCGAATTAACCCTGTATTCACCCAAGGCTGCATTAATGCTCAGGAATTGCTAACGGTATCTAATACGAACTGCAAAGTGGATCTGGCATCTGGAGGAACGGCAAGGAGCTGCAACCGAAAAGTCCATTCGTTTGGACAGCCTCGGCGACTACCCTTCGCAGATGGCAATTGGAACACACGAAACGGCAGAACTACGGATAATGTAAGCTCAATTCAGGAATGGGCAATATTACTGTGATACCGGATGCCTATGTTGGACCGTTTAATCATGGTATTCCGCTTTTCTGTTTTCTCCATGGTGCAGTACAGCAGCGGAAGCTCGTGATCAAATGCAGCGCAACAGAGATATGTAAGAAGACTTTCCCACCTATACGCGCAGTTTCGCTCCAAGCTTTTTCGCCTGAACGTTGCTGCCTGACTTCCTACTGCACACCAGTCAAGGTGCCGCCCAAGTGCGACATGCTGTACGCGGACGATGATAATAGAGCGCTCTGCATCAAAGTGAAGGAACCTCTCCTTAGCACGAATTGAACTCTGTACATTAGCTGTGAGTTTCCGCCAACGGATCGAATGAATTGCGCGCCAGGAGGGGGCAAACTGATAGTCCTGCTCGACAGTTTACGGAATTTGTAACTACGATCAGTTTACCTCAATCAAGTTCCACGCACAGTATGGAAGACCCGGTGCTTGGTGCACATGAGGCCTCCAGAAGGGATTATTGGGTGTATTTCCCGGGAAACACTGAGAGAGTCCACCTTTCCGCGTTGCCCGCCGCAGCTGCTTCATCTGCTGTAAGAGTGTCCTAAGGGGCAAGGAACAATGATTTTCCTACGCATTGCACAGGCCCCGCAGAAAAAAGACGGCGAAATGCATGCAGTTCGTCATGGTAGTCCTACACAGAGCGCGGTTTTAGGGGGTTCGATCCAGTTAACACCGGAGGAAACAGCAAACAGGCACGATTGAAAAGAAGATTTCTCGGCTGTACTGTGTAGCAAAGAACTATCAGCAGGGTTGCAGCCCACTGGATGCACATTGCATTAATACAGAAACAGAAAATGCCATCGGCAAGCACTGGTTTGAATGAGTTGGACTGCAACAAACCTTCCGTGCGTCAAGCCGTATCCCATGCGGCGTGGTGTCCAAATGATAGATGCTGTATGTTCGGCATGCCTAAAACTTCACCTCGCTCTGCTGTACTGAACATCACTCTCACATGCCCACGAGTACCTATTCCGGTGCAAGCTCGATAGTTGGCACCCCACCCTCGATGCATAACGCTTAAAATAACCTTAAAGAACAGTCCCTCATTCGTATCCCGGGTCCAATCCTCCTTTAGGAGGACTGGAAAGCGAGAGGATTACAATAACAATGACCCTCCCGCTGACTTCCTGCGGGTCATCGCCACTGCTACAAGGGCTGCATGAGAGACAGTGCCAGTCTCACAATTAGCTCCATCTACTGGGTGGTTTCATAGCAGTCGTGGCCTGATACCCTTAGATCCTGTTCATTGTGGCGCGACTTTTTTCCAGTATTTATCTCCTGTCTATTGTGGCTTTGTTTATTTCTAATAATACATTGCTTGTGCTCTCTCTGCAGGTGGATCTCTAGACCCACCGGCAGGGAGAGTCCAATTTGAGTACCACTGTAGTGCATGCGCGCTACATTACAGCTACAGTACACCAGCGATTTGTTGAGGGAACCCCTTCTTGTCGCCAGCCCTCCTGTTAGGAAACATTTATTTTGAGTATTCGGGCTCCACTGCAGCCCATGTTCATCCCCTGACAACGCTAAGGGCTCCCGTTACAGTGCTGTACTTCTTCTCACAGCTTACCTGCTGTGCTGCGTTGCGTGAGAGCGGTGGTGCAAATTATATCCTTAAAGCGCCTTAGAAAAGAAATGCCAAACCAGACAAAGGAGGAAATACGCGTATGTATAGCGGGTGAATGCTAGTTAGGATATTTCTTTTGAAAGGTATTTCGGCGCCCAACAGGTTGCAGACCCGACTACGACCTGCTGGGCCGTGGCAGCGAGAAGTAAAAAAGCCCGTCTTCAGTGCACCAGAAGCTGCTGAGAACCTTTCCCTTGTATTTATGTGGGAATTTCTTTCTAGTGATTCCACGGGTGAGCGTACTACGCCGATACACAATGCAGTCGCTGCAGTCGCTGCAGTCCTTCCGTTGTGAGGCCGTGAGGCAGAAGAGGGCCAGGCCGCTTGCAACAGTTACCTACTGAAAAAGTTAGCGGCTGTTGAGAATTGACCAAGAGGCCACCCTCACATGATTCACAAGAGCCACTTCCGTGGGGCCGCAGTCCTTCGTACGCGCTTCTTTGACACCGGTCGCAAGCGACTTCTCGCCCCCGCTTTGTTTCACCGTTTACGGTTTAGCCTACAGTAATTACCTCTTCTGTGATGGAAGTTCCGTGGCAACTGTGTCGCAGTGCCCAACTCCCATCTGCGCAATTCTGGAAAGACGAGGTTTTTAAATTATGGGGGAGATCAGCGCTTAGCGCGGCTCCGTAGACACCAGGAGACCGCATGGTTCCTTGCATTCAAAAGCCGGCTGCCAGCGCCGATTTGCATTGTAGGATTTCCAGAACTAGGCAACAAATGATGAAAAAATTTGGCCCTAAGGAGATTTCTCGCCAGACTATTGTGCAGTCGTCGATGCAGAGGGCCATGCGGGCACAGATGAACTCAGAGATTTCTTATTTTTTCATGTGCTTTCTCGTTTGGAGTTTAGGGTTTGGGGTCTAGGTTTTAGGTTAGCCAACTAGGTATTCAAGGTTATGTCGATCATATCAGTAGGGACTGACCGGGCAGCACAAAGGAGTCCGCATACCGCAGGATCTGCAAAGGGCAAGCGCGTGAAAATTTGAGCACCTGGGGTGATTGGGGCTTGCACACGTAGTGCTGCGGAGCTGTGCTTGCAGATTCTGGAGGTATACCCTCGACTTGAACCCGTCATGGAGCATATTTGGCCTAAGAAGGCCACGCCTGTACTGTTAAAATGGTAATGAACGCACAGCAACACCCCTTTACAGCGCGTGGTCCCCTGTTTATCTTCACTTAGTAGAATAGAGCCAGGGGCGATCTGAAAGGAGGTGCAAAATGCGTCGAAGTAACACAATTGTGGAGAAAGCATGAGGTGACTATTGTTTGCGCTGTATTTCAGTCAGGATCGTGTTTCGGTGGTAGCGCTGGACGGCAAGCCACTCTTTCAACACCGAGATCGGCAATGGGTGCCAACGTTGCGACTGTTGCATGAATGTAAGTTCCGCGGCTCTGGCGTTTCCACCGCTCTGCAGATCGTTTTATAGTATCCAGCATTCTCCCCACCGTTGTTTCACAGGCGTATTTATCCGTTTTTCGATCTTGGCCCGGCTCTCTTCGGTTGTCTATGCTTTCTTGTGCAGATCCATCCATGATGCCTAAGATGCAAGTAGACAAAAGCGCTGTGAAGTATGTGCTGAGGGGATCGAACGTGATGTGCCAAGGCTTGACTTCTCCTGGGGGCAGAATGGAGGACGTGCCGGCCAACACGGTTGTGGTAGGTTTTGCAACTAAAATGTTTGCTTCGCTAAGCAGTTGTCGCTTCATAGCGCTAACTGTCATCTGTGCCCGGTTGCCTATTGATTTCGAAGACATGCGGTGTTAGGTGATCATGCTGCAACTACGTTCGTCACACGAAGCACGTACTGCGTATCGCTAGATACCCAGACCCTCATTAGCACAAGTCTGTTCCTAATGATGCAGACGGCGTA